GTTGACGGAAGTGGCTGAATTTCAAGACAACTTGGGAAAAATATTTTCCGAAAAACGTTTCTAAACCCTGGAAAATCCGAAATTTTTGGCGTTTTTCTCCTTTTCTGTGCACTGTGGAACCTTCATTCTTCTAGTGAATTTTTTAATAGGTGAAAACAGCCTGAAAACCCACATTTTCGTAAAACTCGTTTTTCGGTAGACTTTTAGAACTTTTTCTAAAAACAAATATTGCCACAAGACTCAGCATGATATATTATCTATAGTCCATCCGTTTTCAAGATTACCAATACTCACCAAGTGCCAGTCCTGGGACAGCAAGGAAAAGGAATTTTAAAAAAAGCTCTCCGTACTTTTGAAGCTGGTCTCTTGGTCGATGTAATGGTGTATGAATTAAAAGTATAGCCTTCCATTGAAAAAACTAGATGGGCTTACAAAATGAATGATGCTCCATTTGACATTCGCCAGTTTCGATATCCATGGCGGACGAGTGTTTACCTTTAAAATGAACTGAAGACCTTTTTCTAAATGAGTTTTCAACGCTGATTCAGAAAAAAATAGTTTCAACTTTCCATCTTGTAATAAAACTTAAAAAAAATCAATTCTACGATAAAGGTCATTTTTTCGATTTTTTCGACCCTTGCAGTATTTCAGGTTTTTCTCCATGAAAAAAGGATTTTTAAAGATTTTAAAGGTGATATTCGTGATCAGCTCGACAAAACAAATCAAAATACGTATGATAAATCGAAAAATAAAACCCACTTGAATTTTGCATTAACTGCACCTTGCTTGAGCCAAGTACTTACATAACTATTTGTGAACTTTTCCGAGTAATTTTCAAGGTAAGTCAAGTATTTGAGAAAGTACTTGACAAGTAAAATGTAAGTACTTGGCTGATACAATGCAAGCAAATTCACTTCAACAGCTTCAGTCAAATACTTATTTCATTTAGCTTCATTTTATATTTTGTACATATTCTGCAGCCATACTCTACTTTGGTAGAGTAAATACATGCACGGCTACTAAGTTTGTTTAACTCAGTAGAAATATATATGTTTATTTTATAAGTGTATAACGATTGATATTGCGGTCTTTATATACAAGCGGTCAATGGAAAAAAAAAAGGGTGCCTGGCTCCAAGTCCTTAGCTAAAGTAAGTCAAGTAACGAAACTTGGCAAGTTCTTGATCAAGTACTTGCCAACTGCTTAACTTGTCATGTACTTCCCAAGTACTCATGAAGTAATCAAGTACTTGTACCAAGTACATTCACTAGGGTAATGTCTTTAAAAAAGAACATTCTCACTACACAGCGGCAAGCGGCAGAAAATTGAAAATTTAAGATAAGGAATCTTTTCCCTCTATGTCAAAATAGTTTAGTAACACTGCTCTCCCCCCCCCATAATAAAAGATCATCCCCTGTTAGAAGACCACTGCCGATTATATGACTTGAAAGCCAAATAGAAGACCATGGTCTTCTATTATGTCCGCGAAAAAAATCCGAAAATGCCCTCAGGATATATTTTATGTGCCAGTTTTCATCGAATTTTCTGTGGTACCCTGAGCAATTCATTATAGCAGAAATATGAAATCTGGATCGATTTTGAACGCTCTCTCGAATGGCATTGTCCGTTTTTTATTTAAATATAAAACAGATCCCCAAAAACCCATTCATATAGGTCGATCGGGCTATGCAGAATATCGTGATCAGGATTTGTAGCTCAATCGAGATAAATATAGGCCAATCGAGATTTTCTCCCGATTAGGATATAAGTCATGAGACCGGACTGTAAGTTCTAAAATAATTTTTCGATTCCTCGCTACCTACTTTCCTTAAGCTTTCGACTTAAGCTAGATATTCAAGTCTATATTTCTATTTAATGATGACTACTTGCAATATTATCTCAGTTTGACTTCACAGATGTCGCTCATTACAACTAACGAGTTTCCGAACTTGTATTTTGCTTCTTTTCTGCAATTTGGAAGATAGACCAAGTTCAAAGCTGATTATTTTTTCTTGCGCAACTCGCACTATATTTAGTGATACGACAGGTAGACGTTGTTTACATAGAGTGTGGCGCCGAATACTGTTGCATCGCACACATGGTTCTCGCTACTTGAACTCTAAAATCTTCACTTTGTAAAGATCAATCTCTGCTATAAACTTACTCGAAATCGTAATCAACAAAGTTGATGAACATACTGTCTTTGTGTTGCGGTCATCAAGAGGAAAATATGGTAGCTCAATTTTTGTGACTCGATTATTGTTTTCGTTGCTGTTTTCTATATAATTCGTTGGATATTTGTAACTCATGATGGTTAAATAATTATCCGATTTACTCTACTATTGTGTACAAATTACTTGTATATAGCTATAAATATATTCTCTATATTTCGTGTTTGTAAATTGTCAATGTAAGTTGACCAAATGGTCGTTTGACTTTTTAACCTTGAACTTTTGATTAAAAGTAGAATTTCTAATTATTTAGATCATAATGTTGCATGATAGTGTTTGGCCTTCTCAAAATACTGATTACTCAGCTAATGGTTAGTACTGTTGATCTGCAAGAACTTGAAACTAAAACTTTAGTTTTTTGTTGTATTCTCTTCATTTCAGACCGACCAGCTCACTCCGTATCTCAGCCGATAGCCATGCCTGGTCGAGTACAAAACGATACATCTTATCAAGATAGTAATAGTGTTGTATTTTCACCAAAGTCAACAGATCCAGCAAATCTTGGCGTTAATATGTGTATTCATATACTTGAAGATAGCTCACCAAGAGTAAAAGATCATGGGTTAAAAGACATTGAAAATAGAATAAAGAACATGAAAGTTTATGTACGTACAAAGCCGATTCAACTATTAGCTGAATGAACGAATTCTGTTACGGAAGAGTTTTCCTTAGGGTTGTTCTCTTAGGCTGTGTCGTAATTCTCCATGAGTTCTTCTGTTACGGCAAGCCTACTAGTCGTGTCACTGTGCTTCAATAAAGGTGTCTTCCACTTAACCTATTTCAGAAAAGTGCGAGATGTTTCGAAGCAGGTACAAAGCATAGTCTTTCTGCCAAAAACTTCAAATCCTTGTAGTATTTCTGCGTTCCGGTGTTAGATGGCTAGAAAACTTAATCAGATCATGTTTGTTATATTTTAGAATGACAGTGAGAATAAAAAGGCCGACAGTCCAAATAATTTTCGCGATGACAAATCAGATGATACAGCAGCTGATAGTGCTCTAACCGATTCAAGTCGTAAACAATCCCCTCGTTCATCTCCTGTTGATTCACATGGTGGTGATAGTAATAATGGCGGCGGTCCAAATGGTGTGAACGAACGTGTCTCAACTCAAATGATAAATGGACAAATAACACCAGCAATGCCCATTCACTATATGAAACAAGACCAACAAATGCATCAGCATTTACTTCAACAACAGCATCAGCAACAGTTGCAGTCTGAACATACACTAAGTTTATTACACACACAACAATATATGGCCGAACAGCAACAACAAAATCAAACTGCAGCACAGCAGCAATATCTTCAAGCACATCTTCAACATATTCCTCAACAGATATATGCCGAACAAACAAATCAATATGATCCAAGAGCAACTAATTCACAACAAGGTTTTCAGCTAGGTATGGTAACGAAAAACAAAAATAACTAGTGGAAATTGTCTAATTGGAATAGAGAAAATTCTACCCATGGGATTGAATGAATGAGAAGACCAAGATGATAAACATCTGTTATTTTATCGGACATTGTTATGTCCTTCGCTAAAATATGCTTTTGATCGGTATTTTAGACTATACGTTGATTCAACCGCATTCATACGAATCTCAATCAGTTATGAGTGCTTTTAATCCATTACAACCACCTGCTACATCATCATCTAGCGTAGGTCAAGATCCAAATTTAAATTTAAACATTTATCCATGGCAGGCCGCTGCTGCACTTGCCGCCGTTCAACAACAACAACAGCAGTCTCAACAGCAGCAACAGTCATACAACACGTCAACTAATCAGTATATTGTTAATGGAAGTGGACAGGATAACGGTTATTTGCCAGCACTTGCTGCTGCAAATTTTCAACCACAAATGTTGCCACAGTTTTGGGGTTTACCACTGATGTATCCCCCGAACATGTTACAACAGCCATCGACACAAACACAAGGACAAGCTGCTGGTAACATGCAACAATCGCCGCAAACAAAACAGCCAAATAGACCAATGACACCGTCAAATCAAAATGACGGTATGTCAATTTTAAGTACATCACAACCAAATCAAACAACACAATATATTAATATGGCTAGAACAGCTCAAACACCAGGTAAACATTTTGAGTCTTTTGAGAACAATTCTGGGCGTGCACTAAGTTCGTTCTCATGCAGTTTTTTGTTTCTATTTGTCACCATCAATATCATTCTGTTTACTTTAGCTTTTCCATATTACGCTGCTTCCCCAACGTATTTGGATCCAAACTTAATGATTCAGAGTCCAAGACAACCAGTAGGATCGCCCAGTGTAAGATTATATCCTCAACAAGTGACCGTTCCGGGTAAAGTATAATTACGTCGTTCTTCTGCACAATGTTACAGCAATTTTTCTTGAATTTGGCTTAATCTTTCATTTCTTTCTTTTCAGGTAGTAATACTACTGGCGTTTATGGAAGTCCTGTGCCAAATTCTCTTGCAAGTTCATTTAGTGGTACGCCCATCTTATCATCTATTTTTTCTTTTGATGAAGTATCATGCTTCTTCGTTTCAGAAGTATTTACGGCAAACCAACGTCGTGACGCTTCCGAATTTTCGCGTCAAAAGCCTCAAATGTACCACGGAGGAGTTGGGCTCGGTTTACCTCCATCACCAGCGTTCAGTAGCTTAATGACATCGATGACACCACCACCAGCTACAAATGTTTACGAGGGTTTTTTTAATAATGGTGGCCGTTTTATGCAAGCACCACCGCCTCAACAAGTTGGTCCACAACAACAGCAACAACAAATGTTAAATGGCGATAACTACGGTCCCGCGCAAGGTGGTCGACGTAATACGGGTGGAGGAATGAATGCACCTTTGCAGAATTACTACGCTGCTGGTGTATTTGGTACAGGAGCAGGTCATGGAAATGGAAATGGAAATAATGGTCTCGGGGGACGAGAAGCATCTGTAACACGTTCGAAATTATTAGATGATTTTCGTAATAGTCGTATGCCTAATTTGCAATTACGTGATGTGAGCGGTCATTTTGCAGAATTTTCAATGGATCAACATGGATCTAGGTAGATACCTTTCTCCCCGAGACAGTGAGCACGAAAATCCATCAGCTTATCTTGATTTAGATTTATCCAGCAAAAACTTGAACGTGCCACACCACAAGAAAAAGATTTGGTTTTTAAAGAGATAGTACAGCAATCATATCAATTAATGACAGATGTATTTGGAAATTATGTCATTCAGGTAAAATTTATTTATTGTGAATGAGTAGTGCGTGTTTTGTCTGATTAAAAGTGAAACCATAACTGTTCTTTTTCTGTTTTTAATGTTTTGTTGGCGAATTAGTTAATAATTCATTTTGTGATTGTTTAGAAATTTTTCGAATTTGGATCGAATGAACACAAACAATATTTGGCCCAACGTATTCGTGGTAATGTGTTAACATTAGCATTGCAAATGTACGGTTGTCGTGTTATTCAGAAGGCTGTTGAAAGTTTGTCACAAGAGTATCAAACAGATATCGCTCATGAACTAGAAGGAAATATCATTAAATGTATTGAAGATCAAAATGGTAATCACGTTATACAAAAGTGTATTGAATGCATCAATAGTGAAGATGTCGAATTTATTATCAAAGATGTTACACGTCAAGTATTTCAATTATCAGCACATCCATATGGTTGTCGTGTCATTCAACGTATATTAGAAAACTGTAAAGAATCGCAAACACGACCAATTTTAGAAATATTACATGAGCAATTAGAACTACTTGTACAAGATCAATATGGTAAGAACAACAACGCGGTTATGTTTTTATTTTTCTCCTACTTACACAAACATTCTAGTCCTTTATTTTGATACTACTACAGCCGTTAAGGAGTGTCACGAAAAATCCTGGTTTTTAACGCAGTTCCCGTCAGAACATGTCTACTTCATACGGAGTTTGGAAAACATAAAACTAGCTTTATGCCTTAACTCTGCTACCGCAGTGTGGTTTCGGTTTTTCTGTATTTTGTTCCTCTTACAGTTTTCGAACCAAAAATACTTTCAGAGCTCTAAAACATCTTAAATTGAAGAGAAAAGTGTGCTCGATATTTTGAGATGTTCCCACACTCTGCATGTTCTAGTATTAGCAAATATTGCAAAAAGTAGTAGTTAGTATTTTTGCAATGTTTCCTAACAAGAGAACGTGCAGTGTGGGAACATCGCAAAATATTGAACACACTTTTCTCTTCAATTTAACATGTTTTAGAGCTCTGGAAGTATTTTTGGTTCGAAAACTGTAAGAGAACCAAAATACAGTAAAACCGTGACGGAATCACACTTCGGTAGCAGAGTTACATGACCAAGCCGTTTAGTCAATTTCTGATGTCAGTCGCGCTTTTTGTAAACTTTATTACATGAGAGACGTCATGAATATCTCAAAGTTTGTCGTATAATAATATTTCGCCTAGATAATACGACGTTTTCTTCACCTCACGACTAGAGGATAGTCTATATGTATTTACTTTTTCACAGGTAATTATGTTATTCAACATGTACTTGAACATGGAAAAACAGAAGATCGAAGTCGAATTGTCAATGCTTTGAGGGGAAAAGTTTTGGTATTAGCACAACATAAATTTGCCAGGTAATATACAACAAGTGCAGTTTAATATATAACGTGTTCTATGACGAAGCATATCTCCCTTTCTGACAACGGCTATCGGTCTGCTTTTTTATCGTTAGTTTTCTGTTTTTTTAGTAACGTTATTGAAAAATGTGTGACATACGCAACACGTCAAGAAAAAGCATTTTTAATCGAAGAAATTGTGTCATATGGTGATGGTGCATCATCCGCTCTGCTGACAATGATGAAAGATCAATTTGCTAACTATGTTGTACAAAAAATGATTGATGTTGCTGAACCAAATCAACGTAAATTATTATTACAAAAAGTTCGTCCACATATTCAATCATTACGAAAATTTACCTATGGTAAACATATCATAACAAAATTAGAAAAGTATGTTAATAAAAGTTCTGATCTTGGTGGACCATTACTACCTGTTCAGCAACAAACTTCAAACGGAGGTGGTGGTGGATTACATTTTGAAAATTAGAAACATTCTTCTTTTATATTCTTTTATATCTTTGTTATTTTGTTCTTGTTTATCTCTCCGGCCCCATTGTGACAGTGGACTATTAACCGTTCATGTAAAAACGCATGTAATTTCATCTTTCGTTTTCTCTCTGTTTGTTTTACACTTACTACATTCAGACAATCTACTGTAGTCTCTTTTCTTTTGTTTTTGGTTATGGGTTATCTTAGCATTTTGTTGTTTTTTTCATGTGCATGAGATTTTTTTTCCTTTTTGTTTTCTTCCTTTCTATTATATATTATGCATTATGCTATTCTTATTCAAAACAAGTTATGGTCTTGGATTTTTTTTCTTTTTAATTCAGCCTCAAGCATAAAGATTATTCTCTCGCTCAACATTTTTGTACATATGTATGTCAGCGTCCAATGTCGGATTCAAATCGGTATCGGATTCTCCTAGTCAATATCATTTTAGCTTGATCAAGTTGAATCTTAAACGGAGAATAACCTACAGGAACTAGGCCAATCCGACACTAATCAGAATCTTAAATTGGAAGTTAACATGTACACACACATGTTTATAATTTTTTGTTTGTTTATTCTTGTTTCTATGTTGTGTGTGTGGTTGTACACATGTCTTTAAAAAAACATTTTTTCAAATTGTACTATCTATATTGTAAAGAAACAAACAAAATACTCGTATGAAAAAATGAATTTTGTTTTGTAATACGGACACATTGTATAAATTTTTCTTCGCGATAGATTTTCAGAGCTTAGATTGTGTGTTATGTACATTTTTCCTGCTCACTCATTCCTGCTTTTTTTTACGAGCGTGCGCATTTTTCTTTTTTTTTGTTCATCGTATTCTTCTCTCAGGGAATGTGTTTATGTTTTTTTCATCGATCTATATATGTACATAAATACATTGTACATATATTAATGGTATTTTCTGGATTTGGTCTCTTTTTTATATAAATATCCGGTTATGTTTTTGTGTACGCGTGAGAGAAAAATTTCAACACATCTTCCCTTTTTTTCTTATCTTAATAGTTAAAAGTAAAAAACACGTACTTATTTTCTTGGTTCTTTTGGAAAACAATTTGACACTGCACACTTTCTCTTTTTTTTTCTTGAACACGTGTGTGCATGTATGTTCATTTGCACTCTTCTATAGATCGATGCTTCTATATGTATTTCATAGCGTGATTTGTTTGTTTGATTTTTTATATGACATGTTCATCAAACTCTTTACTTTGTTTTTGTTTTCATTTTTCATTTTTCTTTTTTTGTTTATTTGAAAACGTAAGAGAAGAGATAAAAGTCATACTAACGAGATAAAATAAAAAATCATTAGACAAAACAACACCAGTGATTGAATTAAGAGACTTTAGAACTAATCAACCACACATGTCAGACTAGCAAATGTTCAGCCTGAAATATCTCTCATACTTTTAATCTTAATTTTAAATGTTTGTTAAATGGATTTTCATTCGTAAATGATCTAGAAACAAAAAATACATAATTTATGTGGAAAGGGTATACTATCAAATTCATCGATAGCGGTGGGAAATGTACGTAATTATTTTGCAAAATTTTCTGGATAACCTGATACTATGCATTTTTCATTTATTAATGGCTAGTATACATAATGAAAAAGAGGATTTGCCTTGCTTTTTGACCTTCTACTGTCAGACTTGATATTTTTATTAATAGTCGGTTACCGTTTCTAATTGTGTAGTCTCACTTCGTTTGTTTTGTTTCATTATTGTAGATAATCGAGGCAGTAGTCATATGTCAGACTTTTTTACGCGTCACAACTGATCATACGTTAAGTTTTTCTTCTTTTTTCTTAATGTTTTCGATGGAGTTGAAAACTTTTATTAAACACCATTCGAAAGAGCAGAGTCATGAAAAAAATCATCAAATTTAACGGAAGAAAACCGAGTTTTTCGTCAGTTGGTCAAATGTTCAGAAAAAATTAATTTCCTCGCTTATACTTGATCAAAAATTTTGATGCGAAACTCAGTTCTAAATACACTGTAATTCTGAATTATTTTCTATTTTATAGAAAATCGACTATAAAATCCCTGAGGATTTTCCAACTTTATAGAAAATGTTGATTTTCAAGATTCTTGAAAATCGAGTCGATTTTCTAGAATCTTGAAAATTAAGGAGGATTTTCAGATTTATAGCAAATTGATTGATTTTCTATAAATAATTTTCAAGATTTCTCCATGGGGACAATACACAACATATTCACTGTTTTGTTTTGCGTCTGTAAAAGTATATTAAAAGTGCAAAGTTCGACGAAAACTGACGCTTTTTTTCCAGATTAATTTTATTTTTATTTTTAGATTGCTCTTTGATTTTCAGAAAGTCCATATATAAAATCGCCGAGGAATTTCTATTTTACAGAAAATCAATGTCGATTTTCTATAAATAAGTCCCAAGGATCTGGAAAATCAAGGAGGATTTTCTAGATTCTTGGGAATTCGATTTTCTATAAAATGGAAAATCCTCAGCGATTTCATATATGGACTTTCTGAAAATCAACGGCGATTTCCTATAAATAATTTTCAAGATTACAGTGTATTTAGAACTGAGTTTCGTTCGCATCAAAACTTTTGATCAAGTATAAGCGAGGAAATTAATTTTTTCTGAACATTTGACCAACTGACGAAAAACTCGGTTTTCTTCCGTTAAATTTGATGATTTTTTTCATGACTCTGCTCTTTCGAATGGTGTTTAATAAAAGTTTTCAACTCCATCGAACACATTAAGAAAAAAGAAGAAAGACTTAACGTATGATCAGTTGTGACGCGTAAAAAAGTCATTAGTGTTAATTATTTTTTGATAGAAAAAAAATGTTTTAAAACTTGCTATTACTGCCAGGTGTAGCCCGAATTGAGAGCTGCCAAATGGTAAAAAGGCTTTTTGTAGCAAATCCGTCATTGACAAATAGAATTCGACGATATTTTTTTTTGTTACCTTATGATTAATTTTGACAGACACTGCTGCTATCACTTTCTCTTTGTACCATCTTGTCCGTTATTTGTCACCATTATTAGGGACAGAATTTATAAAAACATTAGTAGTATTTCCGATGCTGACAGTTGTTTTCCAAATCGAAAGCAGACATTTTATATTTGTTTTTTGCCGTTTTGTTTCAATTTTTAAAATATTTTTCTAAGTTGTGCTCCTTATATATTATAACTAACAAAAAATAATTTTAAATAGATGAAAAAAAATTTTATTTATAAAAGTTGCTCTCATATTAAAAAGTACAACAAAACTCTGTTTTAAATAGTAAATAGTAACACTCTCTGCAATAGCTTCATCATTATATTTTTTTCTGTTAACCCGAATTGTCTAATAATTGCGTTATTTTGTCATACGTTATAACATGTCTGCAAGACAAATAACGTTGATAAGCACTATTTTCTTCACACAATACAGTAATTATTTGTTTTACACTAATAATTTGGTTTATCATGATCGGTTAACTGTAGAGCCCTACAAGTCACGTGTAACCTGTTTTCACCCTGCAAAAAAGTACACTGTGCGTCACCTGTAAAGAGAAGGAAATACGAGAGAGACTTCAAAGATGATTTTTATTGAAGAAGTGTGATTTGATAACTCAAGAAGAAGTGTTGCAAGATATTTCTAGTAAAGAAGAATCAAATTCTGATGAGGATGAAATCAAATGTACGTCACAGCAGTTACCATTCTCGAAAGATGAGACATTATTAGCCTGGTGGAAGAAACATTCATTGATTTATCTTTAGCTTGAATTATTAGCAACATCGTTACTCGGTATGCCCGCAAGTTCACTAACATCTGAACTAGTGGCGTAGACATCGGGTGGGCTCAGCCGATTATAATTCACCCTACTCTGCGCTAATGTCTACCACTTTGAAAAAATTTGGGGCAACGCCCACCCACTAACAAAATCCTGGCTACGTCACTAATCTGTACGTGTGTCTAATGCATTAGGAAGAGTATTAGAAACACGAATACAGTCGTTGAATCTAGATGTTGTTTTAACGATATATTGTTGATCAGAAATTTTAGAGATAAGTGATCTTTTTGCTGTTGCTTTTTGATGTACAAATAGAGGAAATGGAAAGGAGGAAACATATTTGTATTGGAGTTTTGGAGCAATTTTTTTCGTAGGTTAGGACATATTACAGGTTACGAGGTTGCAGGTTAAGACAGGCTATAGATTGTGAAAGCTTTTGGTGGACAGATTACAAAATATGAAAAGATTATAACTTCTTATTCCATGTGTTTTTCTTGTAGGTGTGTCGTTAATAGAGAATGACATGTTTTTTTAATTGCATTTCTTGTGACGATTTGTTTTTCATTAATAGTTATTATAATATAATAAAGAATGATGAGCATTTTTCCAAACTTTACATTAAATCAATACATCTAACTGTGTGAAGCGTACGTTGTATGAATAAACAAGGGTTTGAAACAAAAGTTCATTACTGCATTGATCGCATCATCTTTGAATGTAACAAAACCGTTGATAATTAAAAAGACTTTTGAAAAAGGAACTCCAAAACTATTTTGTTGATTGTACGTTTTATACATACTGTAGAGGTTGATAACATTCATTGATAAATTTGCTAGTGGTGCCTTTTCCTATTTGTTATCTTTCTTATTTTTGTATTGACGCATATTTACAAGACGAGTGTGAAAAACGATATAAGTAAAATAGAAAGTACTTCGATAGTATAGACAGACTAAATCTATAAAATCCCTATTATTACATATTGTTCTATAGCTGTAAGACAATTACAAGTTCTAATTACTACTATTTACACAGATAAAAGTTATTCTGACTTTTTTAATCAAAAATTGGACTCTTCATAGACAAGAGTGGTTTTGTTCATTGTAAATAATGGAATTAGATTCTTTTTATAAAAATACAACATTTTACTACAATTTGTCATTATTAGTAAATGTTCAGTTGAAATAGTGCACCTATTTGCAGGCGTAAGTGACAAGTGACATAGTAGGTCAGAGATTAATTATAACTATATGAAGGGTTTTTAGCATTTTGTTTTTTTCTTTCGTTCTTTCTTTCTTTCTCTTCGTATTGCGTAAAACAAGAATTTAATCTGCGTCAAGTACAGATATGACGTCAGTGTATATATAAATAAAACTCATTTATTATGTGAACGTATGCATATAGTCTCTCTGTGATCTAGTATCATTCCAAAACGAAACAGAACATATTTTTTTTTTTGTATTTCTAGATCGTCTGCTGACATCATTTGTATTTTATCTTTTTAATTATTGTGAACCAAAAGAATGTTTAAAGAAAGATCAGAAAAGAACCGTAATGTTTTAAAAATTATCTTACATTCTTTTATCCTTTGTCAATTAACTGTTATTATTTGACAATTAAGAATAAAAATAAATGTATCCAACTAAACAGTATCCCTCATCGTCACCTCCATCCTATCAAGATGCTAATCCTGATCAGCAATTCTCTGGCTTCAATTCTTTCGAACAACAACAACATCAATATCAAGCATCAACAACGGTAGATGATCGAATGTCTAAGTTTCAAGGCATTATCAACAGATATGAAATAAATCGAGATTTTGCCACAAGACTAAGAAACTTGGAAGGTTATGAAATTGTTTTTATTGTGGACGATTCTGGATCAATGAACACACCATTGGGTAAGAATATAATTTGTGACTTCAAAAAAAATTTCTTAGTTCATGAATTGACTCAAAGAAAAGAGTAGCAGTTAAACATGCAGATTATTTTAGTTATTAATGTTACATAGTCAGAAGACCTTTATTTTGTTTATTCTTTATTTTCTTAGGTGATATTACGGGACCATTCGATCGAAATCCATCAAGATGGGATGAATTGAAACAAACTGTATCAATTGTTGTTGATATTGCAAGCGTTATGGATCCAGACGGCGTCGACATTTATTTTTTGAATCGTCAACCACTATTTCACGTTAAAAACTCAACAGAATTAATAACGACATTTGCTGTACCACCAGCAGGTCCAACGCCCATAGTTCCTATTTTACGAAAAGTATTACAGGATAAACAAGCTGAAATTGAAGAGCGAAAACTACTAATTTTACTCGCTACCGATGGTGTTCCAACGGACGAGGGAGGACGTCGAGATATTAAAACGCTTGAACAAGTACTCAGACGAGAAAGAAATCCCATTAGTCGTATACCAGTAACGTTTATTGCTTGTACAGACGATGACGAATGCATAGGTAATTTCATTTGAGAAGGAAAATAACTACTAACACATCTAAAAAATTATTAAATTTTTTTTGTTCTTTTCGTACAAATTAACACATCATATTGTGGTCTATCAGTCTACCAATTCATCATATGAGTTTCTTACTAAGTATCTACCATACTAAAACTTTTCTATTCAATTCGACCTGTAAAACTAAAAAAAAAACCTTTTATTATTTTATTTTATTATTTTCCACTTTTTCGTTTAGGTTATCTGAATAAATGGGACAAAAATATACCGTCAGTATTCCTAATATAAGAAAAAGACAATTATTTTTAAATTCTATTAATCTCTTATTTAGGTATGTTGACGTTGTTGATGACTATAAAAACGAGAAAAAGGAGATACAAAATGTTCAAGGACGAAATTTTCCATTTAGTTTTGGTGATTATGTAGTTAAAATATTGATGGGTACGTTGTGATAAAACATGAATCATCGGTATTTAACGCAAATTATTATTTTTTATTTAAGGTTCTATAGACGCATGGTTCGACGAGTTAGATGAACGAAAAGTAAATACTGGTGGACCAGTGTCAACTGATCGACATGAGAGAAAATCAAAAAAATTCACTTGTACTCTACTGTAACTAATAAATCATTCATTCATCCAGATATTCTCTTTTTCTTTTGTGCCTTTTCCTTTCATTTTTTTTGTCAAAGCGATATTTTGACACCTTTATGTTGTTTCATATGACAATCAGGCAAAACATCAGAGTACTATCTCAAACTTGTTTTCGTTACGTTTTTTCTTTTTTTTGTGGGAACAGCCGCATATTTTACGTTTCAAAAATGTTTTTTATGTAATTTAAAATAATTTTCGTCGTTGCCACCAATGTTATATTCTTTCTTAATAAAGAGAAGTGAATCTACCACACATTTTCTATAGATCATGAATATGGGTTTCCCTTTCTTTAGTTGTCTGAATATCCTCACGATCTGCTAATAATTGTCTAGAATCTTTAAGGATAATTTCGGACATCATCGAATAGATTCATGTAGGTTTTTTCGTTTGACTAGTTAACTGTTTGATAATACAGGTACGTCTGATGCACTATGTCACGCGCAACGGGGAAGATTTTTTTATTTGCACCTTCCATTTATTAAAGGTGTATTTTTAACCATGTCTTCTATTTGATTAGTCGTCTTAATGAAATGTTAAAAAATGTCGTACATTATGTTAAAGCTATGAGATAAGTCAAATTCATTTGAAGAACTATGACAAGAACACAAATAGTAATTCATTCGTGAAAATACTTAATTGATTTCACCGATTTAGAAATGTAAGTGAATAATAAGAACGTTGCAACGCTTTTTAATTTAAACATGCTTGTCTTATTGGGTTATTTCAATAAAATAGACTATTTCAACTTTCATGAGTGTTATCAATAAGACACAGATTCAAGAAATTAGAAATTGAAGACAGAAAGAAAGGATGTTTTTTCCGCCGCCACAAAAACAGTGCAGCTTGTGTTTCTCTTATTATTTTGATTGAAAATAAAATAAGAAACTTGATGAAATCGACAATAGATCTTGGCTTAAACTAAGTTTCGTATTCAAATTTGGTTG